CCCGATTTTTCTGGTGTTCTTGTTTGTTTCTCTATAAACTTAGTACCTAATTTTACAACTCATGTATTTAGTGATTTTAGTTAACCTGAAACATTAAATTAATTTATGTAAAAGAGTGACTTCTACTTTAGATTTTTAAACTTTCCATAAAAAGAATTTTGCTGAACATTAAGAATTTCTAAAACATATAGCATCTGGCTTATGAGTATAAGACCACTTACAAACATGGGTTATCATGTTTAAGTTTATTGACAGTAACAAAAACCATAGGGAATATAAAACTCCATTAGCTATAATTTATCTCTAGAAAAGCATTTTATGAGCCAAAACTAAACAGATTAGTCTCAATTTTTACAGTTCTCAAATCTAAAAATCTATGCTTTTTCTACAATTCTTGCTTGATTTTCTTTTTTTTTCTTTAATGCTCAAAAAATAGCTATTTTTGAAATCCTGAAAGATGAAATTAGAAAAGCAAATTAAGAAAAAAGTCTCAGGGCCGGCGCCGTGGCTCACTTAGTTAATCCTCAGCCTGCGGCGCCAGCATCCCATGTGGGCACCAGTTCTAGTCCCGGTTGCTCCTCTTCCAGTCCAGCTCTCTGCTGTAGCCTGGGAGGGTAGTGGAGGATGGCCCATGTGCTTCGGCCCTGCACCTGCATGGAAGACCAGGAGGAAGCACCTGGCTCCTGGCTTTGGATCAGCACAGTGCCAGCTGTGGCAGCCATTTGGGGAGTGAACCAACAGAAAGAAGATCTTTCTCTCTGTCTCTCTCTCTCACTGTCTATAACTCTACCTGTCAAATAAATTTAAAAAAAAAGAAAAATAAAATAGTCTCTTAGCTATTATTTCCCAATAAGAGATGATTTCTTTGGAGAGATTCACATTTCTCTGGTTTCAAACATCTACCAATACTTCAGATACTCCTTAAAACAATCAATTCACCCATTAGCATCTTTCAGTGACTACTGAGAATAAACAATGCTTACAATATTAGTTCATAGTTATTTTGAAACACCTATGTACTTTAAATTTTCATTATCTCATTGCAGTGGAAAATACATGCCGTCTTATATTTTCCTTTGATAAGTTCCATTCTAGAAGAGAAGCTGCAAACTAGATCACAGATTTACCACAAATACATTAAAAATACATACACACAAGACAATAAAATAATCTGGGACAAAGTATTTATTAAAGTCAACTGATGATTTGTAAGGGAAATGAATCTTCAGTGATAAACAATTTCCAGATAAGAAGAGCCATTAATCTTTATATGTATAACTGTAAAGTGAGAATTTGGAAAGAATCATTGGCTAGCATAACTCAAAGTAGCTCATGTATAGAAATGTGCTTTTTAATTTTTTACTTGAAAGATAAAGTCTCTCTCTCTCACACACACACACACACACGGGTGGGGAGAGATGGAGACAGAGACAGAGATAGAGACAGAGACAAAGACAGAGACAGAAAGATCTTCTATCTATTGGTTCATTCCCAAGTGCCTGCATCAGCCAGAGCCAGACCAGGTCAAAGGCACAATTAGAAACTCCACCTGTGTCTTTTACATGGGTGGTTGGAACTCAAGGATTTGGGCTATCACCTGCTGCCTCTCTGGAAAATTAGCAGGAACACTGGATCTGAACCTAAGTCAGGACTTGATCCCAAGCACTCCAATATGGGGTGCAGGCATCCCAAGCAATGGTTTAAGATGCTGCATCATCACACCTGTCTTGAAATATGTTTTATATTCATGCAAAAAATATGCATAGGGAAGCACATAATTAGATTTTTGCAGCCTAGGAAGCAACACTAGAGAAGTTCACAATGCAGGACCCACCCACTAATCCGAAAACTCTTCCTAAATGTGAGAAGTTTTATGTATGTCAATACAGATACGGAAAGGAGCCACACTTCAAAAAGGCAACATATGACGTAGATGCTTGGATGCAAAAAGAGCCTGGCTCTTTCACAGATAACTTGAAAATAATGGGGTAATACCCCTAGAAATTAATTTGTTAACCTGTAGCATGGGCATTTAAACATTCATGTCTAGTGGCCCAGTAATTCCACATCTATGAATTTTTCCTCAGGGAAACAATGAAAAATTTAGGAAAAAAAAACCTTCCAAAGATGATCATTTCAACATTATCTATAATGTTTTAAAAATAGCCTGTTAGCACTCTAGCCTTGGAATCAGCCCTTAAGGCATTCGAATCTGGCAAAAAAGCCCATGAAGGGTATCTCAGTCATAGAAAGCCAAGACACTGTGGCAAAAAAATGAACTAAATGAAAGATATCTGTGAGTGAAATCCCAGTGGAAAGAATGGGTGGTCAAGGAAGGAGGTACCTTTCTCTGAAGGGAGGAGAGAACTACCAATTTGATTATGGCCTTGTCTAAAAAAGGTTGGAGGTTGTGAACTCAAGAGGCTTCCATAGCCTTGGCAGCTCATGACAAGAGCCTCGGGTGATTATTGACGTCATAAATAAGAGTGTCAATTGTTAAATCCACAACAGGAGTCACTGTGCACTTGCTCCCCATGTAGGACCTTTGTCCTTAATGTGTTGTACTATGAGAATTAACGGTAAAACTAGTCTTCAAAGAGTACTTCATACTTTGTGTGTTGTGTCTGTGTGGATTCAAACTATTGAAATCTTTACTTAGTAAGAGTTGATGAATGGGCCGGCGCCACGGCTCACTAGGCTAATCCTCCGCCTTGCGGTGCCGGCACACCGCGTTCTAGTCCCGGTCAGGGCACTGGATTCTGTCCCGGTTGCCCCTCTTCCAGGCCAGCTCTCTGCTGTGGCCAGGGAGTGCAGTGGAGGATGGCCCAAGTGCTTGGGCCCTGTACCCCATGGGAGACCAGGAGAAGTACCTGGCTCCTGCCATCGGATCAGCGCGGTGCGCCGGCCGCGGCAGCCATTGGAGGGTGAACCAACGACAAAGGAAGACCTTTCTCTCTGTCTCTCTCTCTCTCACTGTCCACTCTGCCTGTCAAAAAAAAAAAAAAAAAAGGAGTTGATGAATGGAAGGGGAGAGGGAGCAGGAAAGGGGAGGGTTGCAGGTGGGAGGGAAGTTATAGGGGGTGGAAGCCATTGTAATCCATAAGCTGTACTTTGGAAATTTATATTCATTAAATAAAAGTTAAAAAAAGATAATTAAAAATGAATCTTGATGAAGAATGGGATGGGAGAGGGAGTAGGAGACGGGATGGTTTGAGGGTGGGAGGGTGGTTATGAGGGGGAAGAAACGCTATAATGCAAAAGTTGTACTTTTGAAATTTACATTTATTAAATAAAAGTTTTCTATTAAAAATAGCCTGTAAGATATTATAACAAGCATTAACAACACATTTTGTAAAATATGATAGAATATTTGATAGTTACTTAGATGTTTATAATAATACTAGCCTACTCTTCCAGAGCAAAATTATAGGATAGGAATTAAGTGGTTCACATTTGTTCCTTCACTTAATATTTATCATTCAAAGATGTAGTTATGTTGATTAGTCAGGGTTCTCCAGAGCAACTGAACCATCAGGGGACACACACACATACACACACACAAGGAAATTTATTACAAGGAATTATCTCACACAATTATGAAGGCCAGTAAGTTGGAAATCTGTAGTGTGAATGAGCAGCCTGAAGACCCACAGGAGCCAAAACTGGGGTTTCATCTCAAAGTCAGTCAGTGGGAGAATTCGCTCTTTTTGTAGGAAATTGTTGTCAGGTTTCACCCAATTGGATGTGAACCACTCACATTTTGGAAGGCACTCTACATACTCTAAACTTACTGATTCTGCTGTTAACCTCATCCAAAGGAAAAAAAAAATTCACCATCATGTTAATATAATTATCTCCATGCTGTAGATGAGGGAACTGAGACACAGAGGTTAAGTCGGTCTGTGCATTTGTGCAAAGTGATAAAGCCAATGAACAGCAAAGCCAGGAATAAAGCCTAGGTACACAGGCTTCCTGGTGCAAGTTCTAATTACAACACAAATTATCTGTATAGAATGTGAAGAGGTGCTTGTGATTAGAAAATACCTGAGTAGGGTTCGGTGCTGTGGCATAGCAGGAGAGGCACCGCCTGTGATGCCACCATCCCATATGATTCAAGTCCCAGCTGCTCAACTTCTGAACCAGTTCCCTACTAATGCACCTGGGTAAGCAATTGGAAGATGATCCAAGTGCTTGGTACCCAGCATCCACTTGGGAGACCTGTGTGAAGTGCCTGGCTTATGGCTTCAGCCTGGTATAGCCCTGGCTGTTGCAGCCATTTAGGGAGTGAACCATTGTATGGAAGATCTCTCTCTTTCTCTTTCTCTCCCCCTCTCTCTCTGTAAGTTTGCCTTTTAAATAAATAAATATTAAAAAAGAGAAAATATCTGAATAGAAAACAATTTTTTAAAAAGTCAGCATATCAATTTTTACATCTTGTGATAAAAAAAGTAGTTAAAAGAATGATTGAAAAGATTGTTCAATGAGTACTTGCTTATTATAAATGACTACTTTACTGTTGCCATTTATCTTTTCTACTTTTTCCAGTTTTAATAACTTTCATGTGTACAATTTTTGGATTTAGAAAGGCTATTCATACCTTAAAATTATGCAACATATAAATCTGATGTAACAAAATATTTTTAAAAATTTAATATATATATATTTTTAATTTTTATTTTTTTAACTTTTATTTAATGAATATAAATTTCCAAAGTATGATTTATGGATTACAATGGCTTCCCCCCCATAACGTCCCTCCCACCCGCAACCCTCCCCTTTCCCACTCCCTCTCCCCTTCCATTCACATCAAGATTCATTTTCGATTATCTTAATATACAGAAGATCAGCTTAGTATACATTAAGTAAGGATTTCAACAGTTTGCTCCCACACAGAAACATAAAGTGAAAAATAATAGATGATTTTTTTTAAATGATGATGAAATCAGAGCAGACCTATTGTCATGTTTAATCCCAGTGAGAGTCAAGTTGGGAATTGATAATTTCTTTTTTTTTTTTTTTTACAGAGGATCAGTTTAGTATGCATTAAGTAAAGATGTCAACAGTTTGCACCCCCATAGAAACACATAGTGAAATATACTGTTTGAGTACTCGTTATAGCATTAAATCTCAATGCACAGCACATTAAGGACAGAGATCCTACATGAGGAGTAAGTGCACAGTGACTCCTGTTGTTGACTTTACCAATTGACACTCCTGTCTATGGCATCAGTAGTCTCCCTATGCTCCAGTCATGAGTTTCCAAGGCTATGGAAGCCCTCTGAGTTCTCCGATTCTTATCTTGTTTAGACAAGGTCATAGTCAACGTGGAGGTTCTCTCCTCCCTTCAGAGCAAGGTACCTCCTTCTTTGAAGACCTGTTCTTTCCACTGGGATCTCACTCACAGAGATCTTTTGCCAGAGTGTCTTGGCTTTCCATGCCTGAAATACTCTCATGGGCTTTTCAGCCAGATCCGAATGCCTTTGGGGCTGATTCTGAGGCCAGAGTGCTATTTAGGACATCTGCCATTCTATGAGTCTGCTGAGTATCTCACTTCCCATGTTGGATCACTCTCCCCTTTATTTATTCTATCGGTTAGTGTTAGCAGGTACTAGACTTGTTTATGTGCTCCCTTTGACTCTTAGTCCTTTCATTATGATCAATTGTGAACTGAAATTGATCACTTGGAATAGTGAGATGGCATTGGTACATGCCACCTTGATGGGATTGAATTGGAATCCCCTGGTATGTTTCTAACTCTACCATTTGGGGCAAGTCAGCTTGATATATATTTTTAAAATTTTATTTATTTCAAATGCAGACAGATAAAGGAAAGACAGAGAGGGAGAGAGAAATTTTATCCACTTGTTCATCCTCCCAATGCTGGTAACAGCTGTGGCTGGGTTGGACTAATGCTGGGAACCTGGAACTCAATCTGTCTCACATGGGTAGCATGAACCCAAGTCCTTGAGTCATCACTTCCTGTCTCCAAGAGTGTACATCAACAGGAAGATTGACTCAGAAGCAGATTCTGTACTGAATCCAGGCACTTCAATATGATATACAGGTGTCCCAAGCACATGTCTTAACTGTTGTGCCATTGGAGGGTGAACCAATGGCAAAAGGAAGACCTTTCTCTCTGTCTCTCTCTCTCACTGTCCACTCTGCCTGTCAAAAATAAAAATTAAAAAAAAAAAGTTTTATTTATTTTATAGATAGAGTTAGTGAAAGATAGAAATGAGAGAGAGAGAGAGAGAGAGAGAGAGAGAGAGAGAGAGAAAATGAGATCTTCCATCTGCTGGTTCACTCCTCAAACAGCTGCAACAACTAGAGCTGGGTCAGACCAAAGGAAGGATCCAAGAGCCAAGAGATTCATTTGGGTCTCCCATGTGGACTCAGAGCTCCAATAACCTGAGCTATTCCCCACTACTTTCCCAGGTGTATTAGCAGGGAGCTGGATTGGGAAGTGAAGCAGCTGGGGCTGGCACTGGTGCCCAAATGGAATGCCAGTGTGGCAGGTGGCAGCTTAACTCATTATGGCACAACGCCAGACCCATAACAAAATCTTCACTGAATATCTTCAATTACAGATTGGACATGCTTTGAAAGTATTGCTTTCTCTAATTTTAAATATTGTTACAATTCTATATTGGCTATAGATGTGACACACAAGTCAAATATGTTAAAGTAAAATTAATACAGACTTTTGGAAATAGAACTAAAATGTCATAGACTTTAGATGAGTATTAAAATATTAAATATAGCAATAAGAACTCCGATAGCTGATTTGGCAACTTTCATGTTTATTACTAAATGCAACAGTTTGAAGAGACAGGGTAAATTTACATGCATGTATATCTTGTGCACAATGTAACCGGAAATTTGGAGAGATAAAGGAGTGATGGAAATAGCCAGACACCAAAGGATACTTGGGGTTTGAAAAGAATTAGAACTGAGAAAGAAGCGAAGAGGAAAAGTTTGAAAGGGATTTGTAGGAAATAGCATGTGCTTTGGATGTATATTGGAAGCCAATATAACAAACCAATTCCACCAGTTCTGTCTGGTGGTTATCTAAGTGAAAGAGGCCAAAACAGCCAAAAATTGGTCTAATTCTCATTACCACAGTAAGATTGCTTTCCCAAGTTCTATGCAGTCCCAGATGCATTCATTAGAGCGATCATCTGTCAGCAGCAAATCTCTAAATACATCAGTCATTTATTTGCATAATGCAGTTTTCTTAGCTAATATTGTATATATGAAAGTACTAGTTAATCACTTGTACTAGTAATGTAAGACTTCAAAATGTTCAGTCCTAATTAACATAATAACATAAATTCTCTCATAGGTAAACCTTTTTTTTTTTTTTTTTTGCCTGGTTTTAATTGACACTGCCCAATCATTCTGGTATGAACACTCTATGAAAGAGCCGTAGCTGTAATTTAACATGCTATTTTTAAAAAAAGGCTGTAACTTGGAGAAATCAGATTTTCATGTATGTGAAATCTAAATGCTTATACTAAGCAGGGTCACATATTTTGCTGATTCAGCAATATTTACCATCATTTTATCAGTTGAGTCCAAGAACACATCTCAGACATTTTAGTTGAATTCTGCAAAAAGGTTACTGTAACCATATTATGTTATAAATAATTAATGGCATAATAAAGAGGGCTAGATTTGACTATATAGCCACTGAATAATCAGAACAAAGAAAAGGAGCCAAAATACAATTCGATTTTAATCCTGTAATGAGAGCTAGTTTTTTTAGTTTGATGAATGGCTTTATGAAACCGCTTCTTCTTTCTAATGTGTTTGTGCTACCTAATTTAATTGCTATGCTGAGGTAGCTGAACGACAGAAAACTCATGGAACATCCTTTACAAACCAATATGAATTTAATTTAAACTTCGGCTTTGTAAACTATGAATTGCTGGGTTTGGGTTCAGCTCACAGATAAATATTACATATCTTTACTTAGCATTGATCTCTCCTTTATGGAGCTGACTTATAAATTAGGTTTGTAACTGAACAGAACATGGAGAGTACATTCCGAAAGTAGGAAGGGCAGAAAGCGCAAAGAAATTCTAAACAGGACTGTGAAATCCTCTGAAATTAGAAGCATAGGAAGCAGGGTCTTGCTGCTTGGCTGTTTTTTTTAGGCTACCTTGGCCATCCACAGGTATAACACTCACTAAGAGTCTAAAAATGTAAATATGACCTCACTTGTATAATCCTGTGACTTGCCTTCCTAATTGTGTGGGATCTCCATTCATTCCCTTTGCCCCAAAAGTGGAGTGTGGATATTTGAAAACTGACATTTTTAATTGTGTATACTACATGCAACTGTGTCCAGTAGTACTCCCTTTATTTCCTATTGCTTTCTTTGGCTGTCCAGTCTTTCTCACCCAACGTAGTCCTCACTGATTTTCATTTTTAAGAAAGCGTTGTGTGTGAGGCTGACACTGTGGCATAGGCATAGGATGTAAAGCTGTCTGTGATGCCGATATCCCATAGGTGTGCCAGTTCCAGTGCTGACTGCTCCGTTTCTGATTCAGCTCCCTGCTAATGGCCTGGTAAAAGCAGTGGAGGATGGCTCAAGTGTTTGGATCCCACCTGGAACACTCTGATGAAATTCCTGGCTCCTGATTTCCACTTGGCTTCAGCATTTGCCATTATAGCCATCAAGAGAGTGAACCAATGGATAAAAGATACCTCACTCTATCTCTCCCTCTCTGTAACTGTGACTTTCAAATAAATCAGTTTTTTAAAAAAAGAAAGTGTTGTGTGAAGCTACAACAAATTCCATATATCCTGTCAATGGTATTCATTGTCCGATCACAATACATCAGTAGTTGAGACAACAAAATTCAAAGCAGCATTATCAACAACCAAACAAAATCCTGCTGAATTTGTGTCCAAGAAGCAGGAAAACAGCATAACAAATTAAATGCATAAGTTCATGCAAAATGCATGGTTTAAGAAAAAGTAACTTGATTTCCCTCTGAAATGTGTGAAATTGAAAATCAAGCTGCCAATCATTTCTAAGAAAGGGTTTAGTTATATGTCAGAGGGATTGGATATATTTTCAAAATCAATGGAACTCAAAATGCTTTATATTTAGAAGTTAGAGCACAGGTACTAGACAAGCATCCAAGACAACCAAGTACACTTGTGAATGGGCACTTATCTTTATGATGATTTAAACTTGTGCATTCTTCCATTAAAAAATTGAACTTTCCTTATTGGATTGGACTGATACCCATGCTTTATCTCAAGCAAGGAAATAGCGTAATTCTGTACCTAGATAGAACTTATTTACCAGGATTTTTAAAAAGTTCCCCAAATAGGGATCTCTTTAATCTATCTGAATTATACTATTTGCTCATTGTAAAATAACAGAGTCTTCAAAGACATGTGTCCATTTGTAAGATTATAATACAATACTTGACATCTACTTCTAAATCCACGTACTTTTGCGGCTATGTCTTTAGGTCAGATTCTACTGTCCACACAGGATCTCTCCAGAGTTTTGAAGAACTGTTTGTTAATGAACTAGACTATTTCTACCCACCATTAATTTGCTGAAACGATTCTCCTAATGTCACATTGAAAACCACAAATTTTAATTAAAACAGAATTTTCAGATGATACAGTTTAAGCCATTTATTTTAAATTTTTTCTCCAAAAATTCTCAATAGTTTTATTAGACAATAGCATTCAACTCAAGGCAGCATTGTTAGAAGTTGAAGAATACATGGGTATTTTTAGAGACATTCCTTTCCATTGACTCACTATTTTCCTTTTCTTTCCATGTCTAAATCCTAGATGTTATGTTAGCAACTTAAAAAAAAAATGAACCTTATAGAATGGGAATGATATCTGAGGTTGAAACATAATGAGGTTAATTATCACATGATGACAAATAAAGCTTACAATTTGGATCTGACTACTTTTCTTTCACTTTCTTAACTTTACAGTTTAAAAAAATCAATCATTCTGGAAAATCAAAATGGTTAAACGTTTCCTAATAAGGTATAATTATCATAAGTTAAATTGTTTCCTGTCATCTAACTAAAAATACTTTTTAAAAATAAAACTGAGATATCAAATCTTAAAAATTGCAAAGTAATTTAAAATGCCTTTATGAGAAGCATTTACAATTGGAAATCTCAACCATTCAACATTGCAAGATTTTCTATTCCTATAACTTATCATAATTTTACCAGGTTCATTCTTTACTACAAGTTATTATCAGCTCTAAAATTTTGAATTTGTATTTATCCTTTTAACTTACTCAAATATTTTAAGCTTTTGGAAGGAAGAAGAAAATTTCCTTGTATGTACTGTTTTTAAAGGATCAGATAACTGAAAAAATATAAAAAAAAACTTTAATGATTTTCTTACATTAAACTTATAATTTGAATATTCTATCACCACAAATTGAGTAGATCATAAAATGTATTAATGATGAATCCACACAATGAATCTCTTTGGAGAGTTAGAAATGCAGAGAAAGTGGGAAGTACTACTAAACTCTTGATTAAAATTAATAAGTATATGATGAATTAATAATGATCTTTCAAGTGCTAACCCTCCAAATATGTTCCATAAACTAGAATATAAAAACTGGCTAGGAATTAGACTTTCAAATGATATTTATTAGTATGCAACAAGTAAAATTTGAAGTAAACAGAACCGCTGAACAGGTTCAATAGGACTACCCCAGTGAATTAAGGTTCAGAATTTTCTTGTTGTTTTTAGGTTATGCATAAGGATGTATAGATATGAAATGTCTGCTCATGAAAAAATGTTTCTAATACATTTCCAGATTTGTTAAGTTATATTCATTTAATTCACTTAAATGGTTTCTTTCTGAGTTTAGTGCATATGAACTGACAACTAATTTATAGATTTATTTAGACATTTTGACCTCAATTTTAAGCAGATATGAATATATGCATTTTCCCCAAACTCATCCATTCCTCTTACAAAGTTATTATCTAATTCCATCCACTAACTTTCTGATTAATACAATGCTGTTTACTTATCAAATCATAGCAAGGGAGAGATAGATGAACACATCAACTAAAATTGACAATTCAATGTCTACCACTTTGGTGTAATTCCATGGAGTGAATTCTGGGTGAATTCTTTTAGTCAGGAAATAAGCATGCTTTATTAAAGTTTGTAAGTGCAGGGCTGACACTGTGGCTCAGAGGGTTAAAGCCCCAGCCTGCAGCACTGGCATACCATATGGATGATGGTTCGAGTCCTGGCTGCTCCAGTTCCGATCAAGCTCCCTGCTACTGTACCTGGGAAAGCAGCAGAAGACTGCCCAAACCCTTGGACTCCTGCATCCACGAGGAAGACCTGGAAGAAGCTCCTCACTCCTGACTTCTGATTGGCACAGCATCGTCTGTTGCGGCCATTTGGGGAGTGAATCAGCAGATGGAAGACCTCTCTTTCTCTCTCTCTGTCTCAACTTCTCTCTGTAACATTTTCAAATAAATACAATAAATCTTAAAAAAATACTTAAAAAAAATATGTGTAAGTGCTTTCTATTTTGAAAATTCCTACCTACTGATAAAATACTTGCGTTGAAGGTTAAAAAATTGTTATTCCAATATGTTTTGCAGGTATTTTTAGACTTAATACTATTTGGTGAACATATTATACTCCTACATCTGTTCATTTTCCAGTATGAAAGGAGGAAAGGGAAAGGAAATACTTTGTAAATACATACACCAATATAAAATGCCAGTCATCTAGGAATGAACTTCAGTGGGTCATATGTCTTTAGGTAGACATGGAAGACTCTAGTTGCATTTTATTTACAATCAGCATGATGAAAATGAATTAAAAAAATCTTAGTAGTTCTCTGGACAAGCTAATCATAGTAGAAATTTACATATAATATTCTATGTAGATGATGTGGAGGTTGATCTTTCCTTTTTATTTTTTTATTTATATGAGGGTAACAACTTTTATGTATTACACATATACAGATTTAAGAGCATAATGAAATTTCCATTTACACAGTTTACTAGCCTGAAAAATGAGATTGAGAAAGCTACAAAAGAAGATTGTGAGAGTAAATTAATTGGTGATTGCACAAAAGCACAGAAGTGTCACCTATATGTTTAATGGGAAATTTTTAAATATACAAAGTGGATGTGGAAAGAATTTTTATATAGTAAAAACTACTATTTGTGACTAGAAGTAAATTCTAGAAAGTGAAACATGCATTGCTCTTAAATTTACCCAAGGGAATGAATTCTAGGAAAACTATGCTCCCTATTACCTATTCTTATTCTAAAGAGGCAACAGTACATTCAGGTTCTGAGGTTAAGGAATTGTATAGATGGTTTTAGAAATCATTTCCAGCCATTTTTTCAAAGAGTGCATTTACAGAAAGCTGTTAGGGGCAATGACAGGCAAAATTATTCCTACAAAGAAATATAATTATTTGCAGAAGTATAGCTGAGGCAACTAGCAAAATGAAAATGAAGGTTTTGAACAGCCTCTTGCTTTGCTGCCTCTATTATAGGTTCATTCTATCATCAGATGGTCAACATATTCACAGAGAACATGGCTGAACAGTTGGTTGTGACAAAATTGTAGATTGCCCCTTCTAGCTGCCTTCTAATTTATCTTCTAAGATAAAGAAAAAGAACATAACTGTAAAGAATAAGCTCTAATTATGATGAGGGAAAATTATTCTTCAAGTTGAATCATAATCAGTATCCTTTTTCCAAATAAGAATTATTTCATCCAAATATTAATTTGCCTGTAACTTTTCTTCCATGCACATTAAAAAAAAAAAAAAAAAGCTTACTTCTGTGTAAGAGGTTTAAAAAAATGGCCCTTGGATTTCAATACTTCCTAGAAAGAAGTGTTTCCAGAACTTTCTTCTCCTCTTCATTTTTAAAAAAGCTACATTGAACGAAGACATTATTCAAGTCCTTATGAAAAATTTTAGACATTGAATTTGAGAATAAAATTCCGTAGATATGGCACATATCTCCTTTCAAAAAATATAATTTTAACTGAATCAATATGATCAATACCTTTAAATAAGATTTAAATGCATATTTTAAAATATTTCGTCTTTAATAAGAACTTCCTTCCGATGTACATGAATTCTTCCATCAAAGAGTGACTGAATAAGTAATTTGAGTGAAGTATTCTTCCCAGGAGAGGGGAATGATATTGAATTTGTCCTTCCTACAAGTGACTAGCATTCCCGCTGGGGAGAAGGACATGTGACCACATGGACGATATAGTGTGAACACAAGTTCAGTCAACACCTGCAACGTGTGGTGAGAAATGATAAATAGTCAAAGCAGAGGTTTCTATGGCCATAGAGGTGTAGTATAGTGATTCTCCCCAAGGATCGGCCTGGCGGGGTCTTCCCATTCTGGAAGCTCTTCTTCCTTCTAAAAAAAAAAAGAGAATTATTTTTCTGCCTGCACGTGGTAAATAGCAGCATGAATAGAAATTAACAGTGGGTGCCCACCGAAATAAAACGGGTTAGAGACGTAAATACAGGTCAAAGTCCTGTGATAGCGACCTTCACGATCTGACGAAGAGACGCTAGTGTTTTATGATGCATTGCAGACAGGCCGCTATGTTAGACAACGTAACTAGAAACTCTACAATTAGCCCCTGAGCAGGAGTGACATAGCAATGAAGGATAACCTTTAATGAACAATAAGAACCTCAAAGAAAGTTGACAGAAAAAGGATGGAGGGAAATAAAGAAGGAAGAAAGAGAGGGAGAAAAGAAGGAAGGATGGAAAAAAGAGTTATTCCAGTTTAGATAGGTGTGGGACAGGTGTCTCATGGAATTAATAAAAAATAAAAAGATGGGGGAGGTGGAGGGAGATTCTCTATGGTTTAACATTAAGGAAAAGAGATTCTCCAGATCAGATCTGATCAGAAGCAGTTTCTTAGTCCTGCAGACAAAGGAGTACCAAGACTGAATTAGATGAAGGGAAACTGGAAAGCAGAATGAGAACTCTGATACTTAATATTTATGGATCGTGTTGTATAATCATGCTTAGATATGGAAGGCATACATTAAATTTGTTTAGCATTGTATATGTTTCATCAGTCTCTGCTATTCCCTTGTTTACTCTTGTCGTTTTTCCTTGTTAATGTCTCTCATTACTCTAAAACTGAATTAGGTGGATGCTAGTTTGGAGGTCCCTAATAACAAAGGACATATATACAAGGAAACACACTGGAGCATATTTAGCTATGATAAACAAATGGAAAAAAAGGCCAAATATCAAAAAAGAGTAAATATTTTAAAGCATATCCAGGCAAGCATTAGAGGTTTATGATGCATCTTATATAAGACATAAAGATATAAGTTATATCTGGCTGCTTTGATGTACACAGAAGAACCCAACTTGATAAAAACAAGGTGTGTATTTAAAAGACATATTTTTCTCAAAAATTCAAATTGGCTTTCTATATCTGAGAAGGTACCAAGAAAAAACAAATCTGACAGAATGTGCATCAAGCTGTTTAAGATATTCACTTCTGAATTAGATAAGTGAAGCCATAGAATAATTGTCTACTTTCTCTATATATTTTCTGCATTTTACTGTGTGCAATTTTAATGTTTAAAATATTCCGACAAAATGTATTATTTCTGAAATTTAAAAGTTTTCGTATCAACATTTGTCTATACACACACACACAGACACTCACAAACATGGGTAGAATGGAGTACCCAGAATGAGCTAAAGAGAAGGGAAATCTCCTAAAGAATATTCATTAACGTAGTTTTCCCCATTGCCTATACAATATTCCACACTCCATCAGGATAAGCCACTGAGGCTGTGAGCACCTTTAAAGAGAATCAACTTAGAACGGTCTGCTGAGATGAATGGGACAGGTTCTAGAAGGTCAGGAAATCTGGGATGCACCCTCAATGAGAACACATTTTAGAGGAAGATATAGTCTGAGTCTTGCTCACTATGCAGAGAAGTTTGGACAACACATTCTAGGCTGATTAAATAGTACTAAAAAGAGCAGGGCAGGGGAAAACTTCATGATGTGTTCAGAGAATGGCGAGCAATATAGCTGCTTAATAGGGTGGGTGGGAGATAGTAAAAACAAGCCAGGAAAAGCATAATAGGATGAGAATGTAAAAGTGTGAACAGCCCACGTGCCATGTTGCTTTAAAAGTTTTTAAGCAATGCAGACAATATCAGACTTATGTTTTTGAAGGTTACACTACTGGCATGCACAAAGTAGAACTACAGCAGAGGAGCGTTTCTAGATTTTGAAACGTTTTTATTTCAAGATGAGGAGGCCTTTTTGGAGGAGATGTTCAGTAAAGAATGGAGGCAATATGTCCCAGGCTTGCATGCAAATGTTTTTAAACATATGTTTTATCATTAATATCATGGAGCATATGCACAAATCCTATATGCAGCACATTCTTGGCCCAACATCAAAAATTATTTATTAAGCACCCACCTGCATATGAAATTATACCAGAGCTAAATCCCCTATAAATGTCACATATATGTTTCAATTTGAAATAATGAATGATATGCATAAAGCATTGTAACTTCTCTGCTATCCCCACCATCCCTGTCTTGGATCTATCTCAAGTATACCACATGCATTCAACTCCATTGTATATTCAGAAAAAGTTTACTTTTGGGAATTTGCTATACAGTTCCATTCGATAAGAACACATATTGTGAAGGCAGAGGTGAGAGCATGCATGTAATAACAGAGAATACATTTTTTAGTATAAGGACAATTACGATGTAAGTGAAGGTAGGGATAAGAAACTTAGATAAGCACATGTTGAGTCCCTAAGGCAGCACTTCAGCATCTGTGTGGTGATGAAGTACATACTTTGTAAACATTGTAGGGTTTCTTGGCTGGGAAAAGTTCACCACAAAGTGATTACTTAGAAAGAAGGTAAGTTTGTTCTGTGCCTTCACTGATAACATGTAACTAAAACTTCCAACAATTTTTTAAAATCTAAAATGTAGAAAACTCTTTTCCTTACTATTCTGATTTGTAGGTCAATATGACCTTCTAGGATTATTAGAATTTAGTACTGAGAACTTGGTATAGTTCAGAAACAAAATATGGTTTTGAATCCTACGTGGCTTAGTATAAATTTAATGACTTGCTTTTATTTAAAATAATAGGATTTCAAATAAGTTTTACTTGACTCTCATATTTTCATTTATCAACATACCTTTATATATATATGTGTGTGTGTGTGTGTGTGTTTATATATACTTAATTTTCTTTTTCTTAGAATCGTGGCAGAATACAAGTTAGAATGGTGGCAAATATAAAGTTTACAGTGTAGGGAGGAAGACAAAAACATTGTCTCTAATTATATCATTCTACATAGTGTCTCATGTCCTTTTTCACCTACTTTATTGAGTACTCCTTACTTTGTTGACCTAGTATTTATGATTAATGTATAATGTTCTACATATGTTTAAGAAGTACACAGTTATGGTCCCAAAATACACCTGTGCCTACAAGGTTCCTGCAGGTTAATGTCTTCTGCTAGGGAAAATGGCCTCATTTGCATTGCCTTTCAATGAGCTCCTGCAGGCAAACACCTGAAGCCAATCATCTGCAGATACCTGCCTGCAGGCATAGGTGTGCTACCAGAGAGCCTATAGACCCTATAGTGTTCAGTTGAATGTGTAAACTTAAACTAGGGCTCGCTGAACCAATGGACTGTGACTGTAAGTTCTTATGGAAGCTGGTATGCATTTGGAATGGATGCATTTTATCATGAAATGTTATCATGGAAGTGATTGAAATAAAATTGGTGATGGAAAATGAGCTTGGCTTTTAAAGAAAAAAGAAGTAACATAATATGAAGGAGTCGTAAGTATACACTCAATGAGTTAACAACAAATATAATGCTAGCTGAGGTGTCTGTATTATTATAGGGGATTTAGGGGAAAGAAGTCAAAGTATTTTATTTACAGAGGACTAAATTATCATTGTCTTCCAATAATATTAGCATTTTCCCATAAATACATTTTCAAAGTTTTCTAAGCCAAGGCACAAAAAATTACCATAGAGATATTTGAGAAAATACCATGTGATAAGCTTAGAGAGGGATATTTGTGATACAAAAATAAGTCATTAATAAAGCTAATAGGAAAACATGACATAAAAATAAAATGAGATCATTACTAAAAACAACCATTATTTTTTGGTAACTCCTTTTCATGTCAATTTCTATATGATATTGGGCTCACAGATTCAGTCCTTGTACCTCTTCTCTGCACTTTTTCTCTAAGTAATCTCATCCCATCCCTTGGCTTTCAGAATCATAAATGTGTTGATTAATCTCAATCTCCAAACAAATGTACCCAACTATCAATGTGACATTTCCACCAGTCCCTAGTGGATATCTCAAAATTTTATTAGCTAAAATGTCTCTTTCATTATATTACACCCTACCATACACATACCCAACCTGCTCCTTCCTTAGTTGGCTGCATCCATCTTGTTGAAGCCAAAACTTTATGAGTTCTCCTGCATGCCTACACTTTGCTCCCATGTTATAGTCCATATATCATCAAGTACTTTAGCCTCCTTCAACTTTAACTTGATACATTTTCATAATGCCTACCCCTGTCAGTTAAATTTAAACCCTCATCAATTTCCACCTACCTACTTCCATAACCTATAAACTGATATCACATCTTTTTTCTTGACCCATTAGTTTATCCCTGACATTTCTATCTATTCACCCTTTGGCAGTCAAATGCTCTTCCAAACTTAAAACAGATCAAGTCATTTACCTTCTCAAATTTTCCAACAGTTTCAGTTGTCCGACGTTTAAACACCACACCACAGCCCTACAATGCTCTACTTCCCCTGTTTTCTCCCTCATTCTCTAAACTCGTCCCTCACTTCCATCATGCTCACCACTGCTGCTTTTTGATATTCTCATTTTGCACTGACTTACAGAAAATTTCCTGTTACCTTTGCCTGATATCTTTCCTCTTTTCACAAATATCATATAGCTCATTTCATCATGAAATTTTCAATAGTGTTCTCTCCTGAAGAGATCCGTCCCTAACTACCATTTTAAGATAACTTATTCACATTTCTCTTTCTGCATTCATTTTCTTCAAGTAATACAGTCTTGTCTTTAACACTATACATTTCATATTTTTGTTGCTTCTTCCAAATACATTATATTTCATGAAGGCAAGGAATCGTTTCTTATTTTCACCAATTTCCCCAATCCTGCAGATGTGCATGGAACATAGTGAACACCCAACAAATATTTGGGGAATGCATGAATTAAAAAGGAGTTGGTACTTGAGTTTGACCATGAAGGATGGATAAAAAAATTGCAGGATTAGATAGCATTCCAGAAATGGACTGTGAGTAAGAGCATGGGAGGGTATAAAGCACAGGGCATTCAGTGATATCATTGTTCTCTGTGGTTAGAGCATTCCTGGAATCAATTTGAATTAAGATAACTGTGCAAATTCCATGCACACAGAAATTCCGGATCAGAGAAAATGAAACAATGAGTAGAATTAAAACTTAATTTTGACCCTTTCTAATGCTTCATATCCTTCCCTCAATCTAAAATAACTCATTAAAGAACAAGGAACATAATTCTATCAAACCGTTAATTAAGTGTACTCTCTTTCAGGTGTTCGGAAGTTGTCTCTAAATGTCATTGACAATATCATGATGCATATGTAAAGGTGGAACTAAATCTCCGGGTGAGAGATAGGTAATCCTTGTGCCAACAAATAGAAGCTTAGCCAGACACTCACATTTAAGACTCGTCACATTCTGTGGCTTAGTCTCTTCATCTCTCTGGCTGCATGGAGTCTTACCTCAAACAGAGCCACCTGATGTTGTCTTGCTACATGCCAGGTAAATCTGCTGCTGTCAAATCTGAGGCTGGATATACTTGTGCTGCAGCAGGTTAACATTTCTTCTGTCCACTCAGTGGGAATTTACTTCACAGCAACTCCTCTGTCCTCAATTATTTGGAATTCTGCAGTCATCCAATACTCAGCGGCATAATAAACAGGATATGCAGTACAGAGCGCTCAGTGGGTTACAACTTCTGAATCATTTCATCTTCCTTCCTGCTTTCACATGTGCTTTAGAAATGAATTTCACATAACAGTTTGGAAATAGAGAACAAGGTCCACCCCGAGAACTGTTGGTAATTATCTGGGTGCTTCTTTCTTCTTATATTTGGAACTTGCTTAAAGACTGACATGGCTACGTGGAGTCCTATCAACAAACTGATAGTTAACCTTATTAAAGTTATTGTCTTATACTGACTTCTAAAGAAGAAATAGCTCCTAGGGGAAATTTTATGTTTAGAAAAATATTAAATTATAGCGTTATGGACTCAGCATTTGCATAAAACATACTTTTTCCATTTGCTGCTGTATTTCTAGCATCCAGTTTGTCTTAAGAATTTATAACAAACATTTTAATTAGTTAATTCCAGCTTGCCATACCAGGCAGTCAATTCATGGAGGGTAGGGTCTTTGTCTAAAAGCGAGTTTAGACAATGAGAGTGCTGTTCAATAAAATTGTGATCATGCATCTGTTTTATAAATTCTGTGTTGTTTCATGTGCCAACCACTAAACGTGTGGCTAATGAGAACATGAATTATAGCTAGTACAACTGAGGATCTGAAGTTTTAATTTGTAAAATTGTTATTTATATTTAAATAGTCACAAATGACTAGTGATTACTATATTGACAGAACAGATCTACAGTATCCAGAGTAATATGATCTTCTATCTTTTAGTGTAGATAATATATATGTTCTAAATTGTCAGTAAACCTTTTCATTTATATGAAATACATATGAACAATAAATAGTACATTTAGGGGCAAGATATCAGGAAACAATTTAATTTTTGGCTAAGTTTAGCTTGAATTTCCTGTTAACAGCAATATTCCTTAGAATCCACAGAAATCTATTGAAATGAAAATCATAAATTTTAAAGTTAGTACAAAATAAAGTCATTCATAAAATCATTAAACTGTCAAAACTCCTAGGTTGTAAAGAATTGAGAAAAACAATGTATGCCCAATATCTGCCCTTTTTATGGTGTGTGTGAAGAGCATGGCAGGGAAATTTGTTTATCATTTTCCTTCACAAAACAAAGAAAATCCTCACAATCACATGAATTTTCTTCCATTAACCTATTCATTTTATAGAGAAGAAAGTGAGATGAGGAATGTTTTTAACTACAGTCCACTTTCTATTATACCGTGTATAAAACAGTGGGTTTATTGACTTCCTAGAGACTTTCTCACAGTGTCCATCACAGCTGTATAAACTGGCTCCCACCCTCTTACCATTGACAAGTTCATTCTAAACAAAGTTGTGACCTGCTCTCCTTCAGCTATCTCTTGCCCTATTCTGTAAAATTCCTGCTTACTTCCCATTTTCACTCAGGGTCACAAAGAATTTTTACTGGAAAGCTAAATAAAACCCAAAGTGTCCATGAACTGCTTTGAATGCCACTCTTCACTAGCTACTAATCAAGACATTCTGGAATCACACTGGGGAATTTTAGGTTGTAACTTGTCTGTGGCAAGAGTTTGGTAAAATTTACCCCAAATGATAGAAGACAATATAAAAGGTGTGTGTAGAGAAGAGATGGCAGTATATTTGCTGCATTTATGTTAGACTAGATATTTAACAGTCGATATTTAACAGTCAAGTAACACACAATATAACTCAAGTTTCTTGTAGTCATCATTACCCTTTATAATTAAACATTTATTACTACTATAGATTTTTGTATCATTTCACTATGGACAAAGTGTCTACCTTAACTTCTAAATAGAATTTGTTCATAAATTCATTTTTTGAGGATGACAAACTGCAGTTTTTTTATTAGAGAAAACATCTAATAGTTTCCTTGGTCTACCTTAATAACTTTTTTTGGGAAAATTCATTAATAATTAGATTCTCAGGATCACAGCAAATGCACACTTATGACAACACAAGTCTCATTTTAAAGTGATATTAATACAAATAGAACAGTTTCAGTTTAGTTCATAGATACAATTCTAAGAATATATAATAATTCCCTACCCAGTAATAATTTAAATTTTAAGGGTTCCGCATAGACATATATACATTTTTATGCAGCAAAAAAATGAAAGTGGATAGATAACAACATTTGAAACAAGCAAATCATTATCCCACATTTCACCCTGGTGCTGAGTTCTTTGCAAACATGATTTCTACTAACATCTTACGTGTTTGAGTCCACAGATTCTGCCTGTGGCCTTTTCATAGTGTTCTATTATAAAATATCAAGAGACTAGGATTTCTTTGAGACAAGAACATCTTTTATTCACTGTTTATATTTCAAGTTTCAGAAGAATACTTATGGTGAAGGTTCCATGTATATAGGAAGTAGTGAATAAAATTTCAGCTGACTTCTGGAAACTTCCAACTAAATCCATCACGTCTTACATATTTCCTACTTTATTTTGCTTCTTTTACTATTTAATTTTTTTTTTTTTTGACAGGCAGAGTGGACAGTGAGAGCGAGAGACAGAGAGAAAGGTCTCCCTTTTGCCGTTGGTTCACCCTCCAATGGCTGCGGCCGGCGCACCACGCTGATGCGATGGCAGGAGCCAGGTGCTTCTCCTGGTCTCCCATAGGGTGCAGGGCCCAAGCACTTGGGCCATCCTCCACTGCACTCCCTGGCCACAGCAGAGAGCTGGCCTAGAAGAGGGGCAACAGAATCCAGCACCCTGACCGGGACTAGAACCTGGTGTGCCAGCGCCGCTAGGCGGAGGATTAGCCTGTTGAGCCGCGGCGCCAGCACTATTTAATTTCTGTTAGTGCATCACTCTCTGCCAGTCATCAATGCTATCAATCTTGAAGTCATCTTCAATTTGATGTCTGTCTTCATCCCCTTGCCAAATAGATAGCAAAGTCTGTCCATCTTTAAGAGAATTGAGTCACATCTTCTATTTACCTTCTCATTCATTTTCACTGTCAATATTCTATTTTAGGTATCCATGAATGTTACATGATTGGGATTGAGTTGTGTCCATAAAAAACACCTATGTTGAAAACCTAATCTACAATGTAATTGTAGTGGGAGACAGGGAGATTGAGTTTGAATGAGTCAGTTATAAAAGGAGGGCTCTGATATTATTACATGAATGTTCTTATAAGAGACATTAGAGAGCTTGCTCATGCTCTCTCCATACATATAGCCACATAAAGACCAGGTCATGTAAGCACACAGTGAGAGGTTCGTCTGAACTCAGCCTTCCAGCCCCTAATGCTTTGAGAAAATAAATGTCTACTGTGCAGCCACCAAGACTATGGTATTCATAATAGCAGCTTTGGTTGACCAAAATAATTACCTTTGGCCTAAAATAGTATATCAATTTATCTACTAGGATCACAACTGGGCCTTTTCTTTTAGCCAAATTGTGCAGCATACTATGACCAGATATCCAAGGCACAGTATTGGTGATGCAGCTCTAGTAATGTTTCTAATATCATCCTATTTTTAGAATATGTAGTTGTAACAGTGAATAAATCATCATTGTTACATGCCAGGCATCAAGCATTCTATTTGAATTGTGACTTTGATATCTGTATCATATGAAATATGTAACATCTTTAACCTTCAATTTGTAGAGATACCCAATAATTTGGCTAACATACAGGGATAACTAACAAAGTAGGCACAATATAAAGTTGGTTTTCCTAACTCATAGGTGACAATTTAAGCACTAGTATTATATAACCTTTTTTCCTTGATGTGCATGGGATGGGGAAACTAAATAGAAAACTAATATTCTATGTGAGATGGGTCTCACATAGATAGTTGACAGAAGGGAGGGAGTGAACACCCATATAAAGTGCTGACAGTACTTTCCAAGTCATGGAATCTAACAGTTTAAAATATATTTTGTGGAAGTCTTAACTTTGTAATAAAATGCAAGTTGATATTGATTTGATTTCTACCAAATGTGACAGGTAATATATCACCTAAATAAAGAAACTACATATACAATTTATTTTGAAAGGAAGGATATTTCTCTCTGTCTCTCTCTTTCTCTCTCTCTCCCTCTCTTTCTCTCTTTCTCTCTCTCTCTCTTTCTCTCTCTCTCTCTCACACACACACACACAGAAAAAAATATCTTCCATCCACTTGTTCACTCCCTGAATGCCCAGCACAGTTAGAGGTAAACAAGGCTGAAGCCAGGAGCCAAGAATTCCATATGTCTCCCATATCAAGGACCCAAATATGTGCACCATTATCCACTGCCTCCCAAGCACAATAGCAGAAAGCTGGAGCAGAAGCATGGAGTTGCTGGGACTGGAACCAGGTGCTGTGACATGAGATGCGGGTGTTCAAAGCAGCAGCTTAACCTGCTGTATTGCAACACTCATAACCGGCTGTATCACAATACCATCCACCTAACTTTATGTTTATAAGAAATTATTAAGTCACATAGAAATAAAAATCAAGCTAGAAGTCTTTATTATTTTTTGTCCAAATTTTTTTTTTTTGTTTTTAGTACTTTTTTGGAAAAAAGATCTTAAGTTTCCTAACATTTAAAAGATAAATGTAGTTAAAGGAGAAGTTTAGAATGACTGATCAGCCATTAAAAGAGAATAAAATCCCATATTTTCCAACAAAATGGTTAAAATTGCAGACCATTATGCTTAGTAAAATAAACCAGTCTGCAAAAGACAAATACATTTTCCCTAATTTGAGGTAACATTATAAAGAATACAAAAAAGTAACTCATGTTAGCAAAATTGAGTTTTGAGATTTGAATATTGTTTATAGCCCCTGTCTATAATCTCGAGGAACAATGGTTTTTCCACTTACAACTTGAATTTTTTATTTAGTATAGGGTTAAACTTGTGATTATAAAGCAAATTGAAAGGATGTCACTGTAAAAATTAAAAGAAAAATAGGAAAGAAAAACGAAGAGGGTTAGAGTAAGGGAAGGAGGTAGGGTAGGTTGGGGAGTACCATTATGCTCTTAAAACTGTATATGTGAAATACATGAACTTTGTTCCCTTTATATAAATAATATATATATATATATAAACTAACAAAAACTAAAAATAAAATGCCAATTCATTCTAGGAGCACTTAGGAACAATTCAACTCTAAAAAAAAAAAAGATTTATTTTTTTGAAAGGCAAAGTTTCAGAGAGGCATAGGCAGAGAGAAATAGAGGTCTTCCATAGCTGGCTCACTCCCCAGATGGCCGCAATGGCCGGAACTGCACTGATCCAAAAGCAGGAGCAAGGAGTTTCCTCCGGGTCTCTCAAATGGGTGCAGGGACCCAAGTACTTGTACCATCTTCTATTGCTTTCCTAGGCCATAGTGGTGAGCTGGATCAGAAGAGGAGCAGCTGGGATTTGAACCAGCATCCATATGGGATGCCAGCACTGCAGGAGACATCTTCACTCACTATGCCACAGCACTTACCCTGAATAATTCACCTTTAAAGGAAAAGAACTTTTCTCCAATTAATTGTTTTATTGATAAAATTTGGAACTGATAAGTTTTAAAGTAGACAGGAGAAAAATAACCATATTTTGATTATTAGTTTTACTTCTAGTTACTGGAACTCCTAATGAAGATTTGCTTTTTTTTTTTTTTTTTGACAGGCAGAGTGGACAGTGAGAGAGAGAGACAGAGAGAAAGGTATTCTGGCGCACTGCAGCCAGTGCATCGCGCTGATCTGATGGCAGGAGCCAGGTGCTTTTCCTGGTCTCCCATGGGGTGCAGGGCCCAAGGACTTGGGCCATCCTCCACTGCACTCCCGGGCCATAGCAGAGAGCTGGCCTGGAAGAGGGGCAACTGGGACAGAATCTGGCACCCCGACCGGGACTAGAACCCGGTGTGCTGGCGCCGCTAGGCGGAGGATTAGCCTAGTGAGCCGTGGCGCCGGCCAAGATTTGCATTTTGTACAACGGCTGAAAGGTATTCACTTATTGTTGTGATACTCGAGAACTATAAAATTGATTTCTTAGTGAGGTATCCTGCATGGATGTGATTTGCAGGAAGTTCTCTGAAATCAGAAAAATTAATTCCTATCTCCTGGTAATGCAGTAAATGGCATAGCTCTTTTTAAGAAGCAAGAACCTCATTAAATTTTCTGATTATGTTAAAAAGTTTTACATACAGGGCAAGTTTAATGTACAGTATTAAGGCAGAATACAACTTGGACCTGAATGGCTTTAAAGATCAAGAACTGTCACGTGATCCACTCCTCAGAGCAGATAATATATCTGTCTTCCCACTGGGACTGTAATTATACAGATATCACAAACTTCATGGAAAATGATTATTATGCAAAAACTATGGATGACTTTGAAGTGTTTTTTTGCACTAAAATAAACTCACGGAAGCTTATTATAACGTGTTTGACCGGTACCTTATTTGAACTATTTAGAAGGAAAAAGCAGTAGCTTCAACAAAAGTGCCTATCAAAGCAACATGAACTCTGCCAAAATTGCTTTAAGAACAAGCAACACATTTATAGTGAAACTTGAGTGGAAATGCATTATGAAAATTTGTAGGGTCAATTTCTCAAAGAAATCACAATTTTACAAATAAATAAATATTTCAGGAATGATAATTCAATGTTGTATATTGAGCCCACTGTGACGTACCATCCAATATCACTTTTCAGGAAAATAATTAATCATAACCATGTCTGAATTAACGATGGCTAATGATTAACGACAGAAAAAATAACCCAAACTGTAAATATCTCAATCAGTTCAACTTACAAAATTCTGACTGAAACATTAAAATAAACAAACTTCCTGCTTAATGGGATCCCAAGCTGTCGTACTCAGATTAGCTGCAGACAAGAACAGAGATTTATATGGGAATTTTTAGCAAGCAGTTTCAAGATCCTGAAGCATTTCTCAGAAGAACTGGAAAAGAAGCTGAGACAATAGTTTACCAGTAGGGTCCTGAAAGCAAGGCACAATCCAAGCAACGGCTATCTAGAGGTGGAAATTGGCCAGTCGAAGCATAATCGCAGTTAAAACCAGACAAAACAGAAAAAAAAAAAAAATTGCAGGATTCTTTATGCATGTTGCTTCTTGGCTCTATGGAAGACCAAAGAACAATAAATCAGCTGATTGTCACAGTGTTCTCAGAGCTGGAACCTGGAAAAGTGTCACCAGAGTCCTTCACCACGAGAGTGCTACTGCTCATTTGCCTCAACACACAAGGTGAATGTTTTCAGTTTCAATGAGAAGTCATCAGGCATCCACTTTATAGGCTTATTTGGCTCCCTCTGACTTCTTTTCTTTTCATAATCTTAAAAATTCTTAAGTGGAACACATTTTATTCAGTCAATAATGTGAAATAGACTGCTTTGACATAAAAACCCATAGTTCTTCAGGGCTGAACAATCGTAATTTGCTTATAAAAGTATCTTGAATGGGAGTGGGGAGAGAATGAGCAAGCTCACTAGTATCTCTTATACTGAAAAAATTCAGTTTAGATTCTTAATTTTATCTTTTAATTCCAGTTTTCATGATTGATTTTTTTTCCATACTCCTTTTAAAGTTCTTCATTGTTTTTGAATCCTTAGCCCTGGCACGTCGTTGGAAACATAATAGCTTTGTACGGTTGCTTTAAAAAAAAATGATTGTTTCATCAATCAAAAACAGGATCAATGAAATGGCTATAGCCGGGGGAGAGAGAGAGAGAGAGAGAGAGAGAGGCCCACAATGAGATGTTTCAGAAAATGCTTCCATCTCCTACTGGAAATTAGCAACACTAAGCAGCATATTGCAATCTACTACACGTACTACCATAAATAACAAAGCTAATAAAGGACACATAGACAGACCATTCTCTTCACTGACACCTGAAAAAAATGTGTTCATATTGCTTTCAAGTCTTTATTCATCTAGTCACACCGTCATCTACCCCTCTGTTTTTCCCCTTTGTCTTTTCCTTATATCATCAATCCAATTATCAGGTACAGATTTGTGGCTGGTCAGTCAAATCTCCACTGTCTATACAATCCTAATCTTCTACTACTGAAAACTTATGGAAATGATGTTCTTTGAGGACTAAGCCTACAGAACTTGAAGAAACTTGAATAATCATGCATAATCATTTAATATTCAGTGGTCATGTGGATTAGACCTATTATTACCTTAAAGAAAGAAGTCTGGTCTGAGATTCCCAAAGTCTGTGGCTTGCTCAGAGTACGTATCTGCTATCTCAGAACAACAACAACAGCAAATGGCTATTGTTTATTGAGTGTTTCAGCTTGACAGGAAGTTATTGATACTAGGAACTCTACATATATTCTACTCTTCAATCTGATAACAATTGTGTGAAATTAATTTCCTTTCATTAATTTCCTATCATTACATAACAGATTAGTTTTAATTTCCTATCATTACATAACAAATTACAGCACATTCATGGCTTTAAAACTATTTATTATCTCACAATTCTAAAAATAGAATTTTCAATTTACTAGATTACATGATTACAAGGCTGCAATCAACTGTTGGTCAGGATAGGTTCTCATCTGTAGGCTCTGGGAAAGAAGCTACATCTATACTCATTCAGGTTGGGCCAAATTAAACTTTATGGTTGTGGGACTGACATTTCTTTTTCCTTTTTGGCTGTCATCTAGGGGCCACTCTGAGCTCATATTTCTTCCCATTGCTTCCTCTGTCTTCAAACCCAGCAATGATGCAACAAATTCCCTCACGCATAGAGATTCTGCCTTCCTGTTGTGCTACCAGCTGAGAAAATTCTTTGCATTTATAGGTCTCGTATGATTAGATCACAACTATATTAATAACCTCTTTTTTGAGATATATCATAAGAACAGTAATTCATCATATTCACAGGTTCCTGATTATACAAGAATGAAAATCAACATGGATTGTTGCTAGAATTCTGCCTAACACAGGTAGGTTCTATCAATGCCATTTTTCTCAGGAAGAAATAGGCACAAGGCAGTCAGAATTTGAATACTTGTTTAAACAGTCTTTTGTGCTCCTTCATTAAATCCTGATTTAATGTCACTGCTTAAACCTAAGCTCTATAAATATTGACTCACTTTTGCCTCCACTTACAAGTTTTATCGGGTTTTATAAAGTTTCTAGGACTTCTGTTGAACTGAACAGGTCCCATTACTAGGGTGCATGTATGAATTTCCTCTTTAACACCGTTTTGCTCTTCCTAATACTGAGTGACAGTATCAACTCTCAGACCAGCCTACTCGCCTTATGAAACCAGAAGCAATCATAGTGCCTCCCTTGTTTTTTCATTTCCAAACTGTCTCTGGGCTGCATGTAATGCGGACAAGTCCCATTACCGTATCTCCTCCTACTGTATCTGCTTTATACAGTAAATATTTCCTCTTTTTATGTCACCTGCATTTTGTTTTGAAGAGCCTTTTAATTTTCTTTATATTTAAACAAAATCTGATATGATGAATGAAGAAACACTGAGCTAACTTTAGTCTGAGATAGATTGTAAATATCACTAAATATCTCAGCATACTTGCAATTCAAATAATTCCTTTTTGTCAATAACTCTTGTGAAATTTTTGGAAGTGTCATTTATTCAAACGAAATTCAAGTTAAATAAAAATATATTTGTAGTTCATCTAATAAATACCCACCAGGTTCAGTGTAGAATGTAGAGTGAAAGCAATGAGTAAGACACATTACAGAATGAAAGAAATCTGTACTAATTAATGTGATAAATGAATATATGTTGTGTGTCTGTTTTGTGCTTACTTGTGTATGTATTCATGAAAGATGCCTGAATTGAGAGACTTTGAATCTTGTGTAATTGGCTATGGGATATTGAGTACAGCATTTAACCTCTCTAGGCTTTGGTTTTCTCACCTCTAATAAAAAGGGAATAGAACAGAAATAATCCTCACAAATCTTGAATTTGCAGTCATAAATATAAGGGATTCCAGACAGAGTTGAGAAAAGAGAACCAAGCAGTATGCTGTTCACTACATAACAGCCCATATTTCAATTAAAAAGAAGAAAATAAAAATAAATTGAACATATATCATCAACATTATGAAGATAAAGGAAAAGTAAATTATTCAGTGTCTTCTGCTTTCAAATTCAGATGAAAAGGTTACCATATAAATAGATAGCTAAAAATCTGGTGACCCTTGGTCAGACAGACCTGAACTCCTAGATTAAATCTGCTTGGCCAAATAAGAATTTTTTAAAATTTAATTCCTTTAGGTAGAGTATCCATTTTCTGGATTCCTGTACTCTCCAGCAAGCTATCTGTTCTGTTCACTTTAGTAGCCTACATGACTGTACCATGATTTGAGTTTGAGATGCATGATTAATAAAATTCTGGTTAGAAAGATTTTAATTTTCTTGACAGCATAAACATTGTAAGAGCTCGTTAAAGAAAATGAGCGCGTTATTTTCCCTAGAATATTTCAAATAAGGTTAGGTTCTAAATTGAAAAACAGTTGCCAGAAGGAAAAATTATCAAATTAATGCTTTAAAGTTTCACATTATTATTCCATAATAAACACTACAATTCATGTTTATTTAAATCATCAAGATTTGTTTCATGGGCAATTTCAATACCCTCCACTTTACTGAGTGACAGTTCAAGAAGTGATTATAGTGGAAGCTAATGCAAAATCGTACTACTCACTTTGTATGTAAGAAGTTACATTCAAAACAAGTTAGTCCATTGCAATTGTGATGTTCAGAACAACCATGATCTTTGATGTTATAAAACAAGATATGAATTTATGTTCTATGTATTCAGTTTCACGAACTGTCTTCAAAGCATTTTCTGTTATATTGTTTCTTTACTTTGAAGTAGTGTGTGACCCACATGAAGTAATTATTAGCATGGCAAGTATCCAGATTGCTAGGTATTGAAAACTGAAACCTCATACATGAGGAGAATGGTCTCTAAGCACCTTTATTATTCACATTAGAATCAATGATATGCTATTTAGCTACTGTAGTTTAAAAATCATCTGGTTTGTTCTGTTTTGAACAGACACTCATTTTTTTTTTTCTCCCTACTTTTTCCCTTACTACAACAGAGTTTTTGTTAAGATCATGTCAACACAGCCTTTATAAATTCATTACAGAAGTAGATAGCAACCGAGCTAAAGATTTAGGGATGGGGACTTTAAATGGAGTGGGATTTACAGGTGGCTGGGAGGGGAGAATGCTGCAGTATTGAAGTGTCAACAAAGATCACTAATGATTACTTTAGCTAAGAGGGAATAAGACCCAGTGAAGTCTTTGTCCAAATCTTGTAAGTGATATTTACAACGTTCCAGAGTTTTATTTGAAAATTGAAAGATGAATTACAGAAAAAAAGCACAAAATTTTTGTGCCTGGCATAATTTCTTTAGATTCATTACAACTCTTATTTTGTAAGCATATATATATATATGCAAATCTTTCTGAGCAATATTACAGTGACACAATTCAAACACAGTGTGAAGAAAGTAAGTATGTAAGACCACACCAGATGTCTTTGGTCAAATAAACTTTCAAAAATTATCTTTGTTTTTTGCAAAGATATAATAATAAAGACTTCATTGATAATTCAGTAGCACAGCTTCTGCCAGTGCTGTTGTTCTCCCCATGTTTGTAAGTCCTTTGCAGAAGTACACAACTGATTTCTGTCATGCTGAAAGAAAACTACTCTGGGGTAACGTATAGATAACTGTCACACTAAAAAAAAACTTTGGCATTTTTAATAGTTTTGAGAAAAGTAATTTTAGATAAATTAACTCCTATAATTACACTTAAAATATTCCCTTGAATCACAATAAAATACCTAATTCTACAAACATCTGTTTTTTATGATAATTGCTGTTTATTCTAGAAAATTTTAAGACATATCTTTGGATATTTTTACTTATTATTATTGTCTTAGTTAACTACACTTCCCAGGGAGTCTAGATCTCAAGTCATTTATTAGCTTATTTTTGCCTGCTTAAATTACATATTTTTTCAATGCAGCATATGTGAAAATTTTTTAAGTTTCTAAAAATGCTGAACCTGGAAGGTAAAATATGGTTCCTCAATGGAATAGTTTTTATAAATGTACACATATAAATTTTAATGAGTAGTTAAAATACCAACACATTTAAGGCCTGAATGGAATATTAATTTATTTTCTGTCTGAAAATACCACCACCAAGAATAAATGCATGCTTCATTCATTTATTATATGTATTTTCACCCAACATACATCACTGAATAAATTTTTAATTTCATTTCATTATAAATAATATGGGGTGATAAACATGGGGAGATAGGTATTGTCAAAACAAATTATTTTTAATTTTTATTCTGTAGATTAAGCAACAAATTAAAAACATAAATTTTATAATATTCCCAATTGCTTACACAGAAATGTTATAATATGAAAGTGGTTTGGACTAGAAGTACTACTGAGAAAGTATCATTTAGTCAGGTGGATTCTTAGGATAATTTTAAATGGGCTACTTTCTTCTATACATTTTTTAAAGATTTATTTATTTATTTGAAAGGGTTAGACAGAGAGAGAAGGAGAGGCAGAGAGAGAGAGAGAGAGAGAGAGAGAGAGAGAGGTCTTCCATCCGCTGGCTCACTCCCCAGTTGGCCGCAATGGCCAGAGCTGCACCGATCCAAGACCAGGAGCCAGGAGTTTCCTCTGGGTCTTTCCCTGCAGGTGTAGGGGTCTAAGGGTTTGGGCCATCTTCTACTGTTTTCCCAGGCCATAGCAGAGAGCTGGATAGGAAGTGGAGCAGCCAGGACTCAAACCGGCACCCATATGGGATGCCGGCACTGGAAGCGGTAACTTTACATGCTATGCCATAGCACTGACACTGCCCCATATGTTGAACACAGAAGAATGACTTTGCGACCCAGAACAAAATCTGAATATCAATCCTATATGTTACATCATAGGTCAGACTAAACCAAAAGTATATAGCATCTTTGTTGCAGCCACATTGAAGACTCCATTGTAGAACTAGAGGTACAACTTAATTCCACTTGACAAATGTGTGCTAAGATTTTTATATGGACAAATTAAGGAAATTTTTGAGATATTTCAGAACATGTTATAGGTGGATTGGTTTCTACCTGAGTGGGACAGAAAACAAAAGGTTTACTCATTTTCTGTGGTTTCCGAGGTGATTATCTGGCCATATTTTCCAATATTCCCAGCTGTAGAGTCACCCAGAATAACCTACTTCCTTCTCTTCGAATTATGTTTGAGTCTTTTTAAAGAAATTATTTATTTATTTATTGAAGGGCAGGCAGCAAGAATGAGACAGAGAGAGCTCATCAATCAGATGTTTCACTCCCAAAATGTCTTCAATAATTAGGTTTGAACAGGCTGATGTCAGGAGCCCAGATCTCAACCTAGTTCTCCCATTTGGGTAGCAGGGACCCAAGTATTTGAGCCATCACTTGCTGCCTCTCAGGTAACAGCAAGGCACTGGAATTGGAAATGAAGCCAGGATTTGAACCAGGCACTCCAATATGGAATGTATGTGTCTCAAATGACAGCTTAACTGCTGTGCCCAAAGCCCACTCTGACACATGTCTAAAGGCAGACATATTAAATAAATCCCATGCAGTCTTTTGTTTCCAGATATTCCTGAACTTCTGCCACTTGGAACATTAAAAACAATCCCAATCCAAAATAATGTTATAAATCATATTCAGAAATAATTTGGTAAAGTGGCTTTCACAAAATAGATGGCTAATCAGCTTTTTTCCAAACAGCTATCCCAACTGCCTGTTTCATTAATAACTAATACATCAATTTCAGATTTAAGCACCCCTGCTCCTATCAAACTATTTAGAATTTCTGCAATAGACTTTCTCCTCACCTAGTCTCTGTCATGTTACTTCTTCTACCTAAAATTTTCTCCTACCTCCATAACTTCCAAAATCTAGTTATCCACATTCATGAAGAATTCTTATCTTTTATGCCAGACCTTCCTTATCATTGATGAGAGATCTTTGTCTAAGGCTACACTTGCACTTAGCCTTCCTTTTCTGAGTCCAAGATGCAGGTCTGATTACATCATTACATTTGACCTACTTTATAGGTTTCACATTAAGTTGCTTTTCCTATTTTTGAAGACAAATTATGTTCCCAACTTCAGTTTGTGACAATTAATGCAGATAGAAGTATAAAACTTTAAATCAGATAAAATATATTATATAGAGAATTAATGTAGGGTGAAATTAGCAGTGAATGAGTTGATACTCTTCTGTATGAGGTGGTCACAGCTGACCGTGCAATGAGTGTCCCATAGGATGTTCCCCAGAATCTCTACCTCCTAGCAGTCACGCCCTTACAAAATAGCCCTCCTGGAACGTGCACTGGGTTTATTGACTCACTTAAAATGAACAGAGTGCAGCAGAAGTGGTATCATATCTTAGATTAGGCTACACAACGACTCTGTCTCTGTTTCAGGCTTCCTCTCTTCATTTGTTATTCTCAGACAGGGTATATGGTTATGAAAAATTACCCAGGAAAATGGCCTAATGCCTTTGAACAACACCAACTGAGCACTTGAAGTCCGACAAAATCATGTAAGTGAACTTTTAAGAGGGACAAGCATTGAGAAGACTATACACCTCACTGACAACCTGGTTTTCTTCTTGAGAAATACTGAGCTAGAGTCACCCAGTTAACTGTACCTGGATCCCTGATCCAGAGCAAGTAGAGATCATGAGTAGTTAAAGTTGCTATGTTTTTGAGGATTTATTACTAATTCATATTTGGGTGCCTGGAGTTGAAATAACACCATAATAAATATCAAAAGTACTGAACTAGTCTTGGACTGTGCAGTAAACTTCGAGAAAGGTTGTATTCTTATTTTTATTTTTTAGAAGGGTTTCAATGACACCTTTAACACATTGTTCAGAGAATTTTGGACAATGAGGGCACTGTGAGCGAGAGAATTTACCCCAAAGTGAAAAACATCTTGAAAACTCAGGGAAGGAGGATATTTGTTGCATATCAGCAGACTATTGAGCAGCACTAGTGTGGGAAATTATATGAAGTGTCAAAAGTGTGCCTGAAGAACAAGGTGATGATGCTAAGAAGATTTCAAAACAATGTTGAGGCCAGCGCTGCGGCTCACTAGGCTAATCCTCCGCCTTGTGGTGCCGGCACACCGGGTTCTAGTCCCGGTCGGGGTGCCGGATTCTGTCCCGGTTGCCCCTCTTCCAGGCCAGCTCTCTGCTATGGCCCGGGAGTGCAGTGGAGGATGGCCCAAGTGTTTGGGTCCTGCACCCCATGGGAGACCAGGATAAGCATCTGGCTCCTGGCTTCGGATCAGTGCGGTGCACTGGCCGCAGCAGCCATTGGAGGGTGAACCAATGGAAAAGGAAGACCTTTCTCTCTGTCTCTCTCTCTCACTGTCCACTCTGCCTGTAAAAAAAAAAAAAAATATATGCATCGGGATTCTGTCCCGGTTGCCCCTCTTCCAGGCCAGCTCTCTGCTGTGACCAGGGGGTGCAGTGGAGGATGGCCCAAGTACTTGGGCCCTGCACCCCATGGGAGACCAGGAGAAGTACCTGGCTCCTGGCTTCGGATCAGCGCAGTGCGCCGGCCGCAGCGCGCTGGCCACGGCGGCCATTGGAGGGTGACCCAACGGCAAAGGAAGACCTTTCTCTCTGTATCTCTCTCTCTCACTGTCCACTCTGCCTGTCAAAAAAAATGTTGACTATGTCACTTTATTTCTTCCTGCTGCTTATAGTAAAATGCAAGTTGAGAGAAATCCAATTAGAAGGCAGAACTGATGAACAAAAACACATCAGCCTTTGATGGTTTGGAAGAACCTCAGCCTCTCCTTGCAGCAAAAAATGCTAAAAATTAAAAACAAAGAAAGAAATGGCTTCTAAGCAAACATCAATTTCATTGCTGTGCTGATCATGGTCTAAACATGAAGCTGATGCTGTGCCATACTTGTCAGGACCTCAGAAAGATTCAAAGTTTTGTCTCAGAGGACTATCCAGTCTCACAGAAGGTCCTTTTTCAGAATAAAGTTTTCCTTCAGATTCTCTGAATTAAGTAGTAGTAGAGTCATTAAGAAGCTTCAGAACATTGTTTCATGGTCGTCTTAGGAAGCCACCGAGGAAGATAAAGAACTTCTTAACAGAGATATAGAGATATTGCTTTCACATAAACTCAAATGACATACACAGCTGGCCTGCAAGTTTCTTAGAGAATTGTACCTGCAGAAAACCTACTAACCCAGAGTGAAAGAACAAAAGCTAGAACAAAAACTGAACAGCTAGTTATGCCCCCACAATTCTAGCAGAGGTAATGCGATGAGAAAGCCCATGGGCCGAGAACACACGTTACCTTTCACAAAAAAAAATCAACACTCAGGTAGAACCAGAGGGCTAAAGGGTGGAACTCAGAGCCTGAAGAATGCTTAGGACTTGTAGCTAATTAATGGATGTCTGCCATTTTGCTGACTGACTTTCAGAATTGCTATGGACCAATCATTTTTTTGTGCCTCATTGTTTAAGATGAATATCTGGGATGCTTATCCCGTCATTGTCATTTAAATGTGTGCATTTTGGGTAGGCTGGAAAGAAATTTATCTTTAGTTTCAGAGTTTTAAAGATCAAGGGGAACCATATGAAACGAGCCATACCTAAGAAAGCTGTCCTTGAGAAGCTTCATCCCCATCCAAACCTCCTGATTTAGATGATGAAGTTTTGGATTTTGAGTTTTTGCCTGGATAAGATTACATTTTTGTGTATCTTGCAATAGGATGCATTTTTCATGTGGAATGACAATGACTCACTGGAGGCTTCAGGACAGACTACCGTGGACAACCTCCAAAATACTTGATACCCACTTTCTGTCAAAACTTTACAAAATCCCTGCTCCTTTTTCTTTAAGATTTATTTGAGAGACTGAGTGACAGAGAGAAAGAGAGGGGGATGAGAAAGAGAGATCTCCCCTTCTTCTGGTTCACGCCCTAAATGGCTACAGTAGCTAGGTCTGGGATAGGCTAAAACCAGAAGCCACGGACTTTATTCTGGTCTTCCAGTTGGGTAGCAGGGACACAAGCACTTGGATTACGTTCTGCTGCCTTCTCAGGAACATTCACAGGACGTTGTATCAGGAACAGAGCAGACAGAAATCAAAGCAGTGCTCCAATACGGGATGCCTGCTTAGCAAACAGCACCCCAACCGACTGTACCACAGTGCTGGCCCCAGTCACTGCTCCTTGAGTTCGGGTTAAATTTATTGACTAGCTTATAATGAATAGAATTTAGCAGGAAAGGGATTTATGTTTAAAAGTTGCACTTTTGAGAAGATGGACTTGGTAAGCTAGGAGAGCGAGAGGAAAGGGAATAGTTAATATACGGACACTTTCTAAAGCTGCTGCATTAGTCCTGGAGAGAATACCGAGATCGTTTAGTGGAGCGTTGGCAAAGGTAGGGGAAGATTTGAAATAGATTTTTGAGGTCATGCCAAGAAGATTTGCTGATAAAATGGATGAGCAGAATGAGTATATTAGATTGTTGGCTAGAGATGTTAGATGGAGAATGCATTTTATCGTATATACTCAATAAAATTTTAAGTACTTTATGGCTGAAAATTTTGTATTATATTTCTTTCAAACTTCCGTAATTTCCAATATAGAGTGTCTTGTTGAATATACAGTAATACTTGTATATGGATTAAATAAATCTTATTTATTTTGATGATCCCAGTTTTTTGCCAATGTCTTTCCTCAGCTCCTATGAGTTGATATTTTTCTCAATAAGTGGAAAGAAGCAGTTTTAAAACAGAGCAATTCCTTAACACTTTCAGAAATGGAGGAAATTGAAAAGTAAACAGGGATATATTAGCATTTGAAGGCAACTAAAGGAGAAGCTAAGTGAGTATTGCCTTCCTCCCATGGGAAGTCTGATTAGCCCTATGCTGTCAGGATAACAATTCCATAAGAATTCCAGGTGTTATACAAGAACCTGGACAAAATGAGTTAATAAGGTCCCCCAAAGCGTTATTGACTTTGTCTTTATAATCTCCATGTAGTCCACTTTCTTCCCCGTGAGTCTCTTCAACTATTTTCAATCAAACAAAGGATCTGTATTTTATATCCTTCAGAAATTTCCACTTAAATCCATATGTGACATTTGCCCCTAATGCTAATTAGCATGAACATTTCAGCATGGACTATAGGAGAGGAAAACATTTGCTACTGTGCTGTTGGAGCACTTTTTCAAAGATGCCAGTAGAATTTACATATGCCACCCTTTTTGGTTGATCTTGAGTATTTTCAGATGTCTCTATTTCATTTGGTGTCATCTCTTCACAGTAATCATCATTCAGTTACTTCCCATGGAGCCTTAGACTGTGGGTTAGAGGATGATTCAGTTTGGTTGTTTTCCTTGGATTCTGAAACTGTCAAAATCAGAAGTAAGCTTTTTGTTTTCTTTCTCTTTTTTTATAATAAGTCTCCAAAATTTAATGTTTATTTGTTAAGAAAGTATCACTTGAAACTTGTATCTCTTCAATATAACAACACAGGACAATATCAAGCATCTTTAGGAAAATAACAAAATTATTAACCAAGGATGACTTTCTTGTCTGCTTATTGAAATTTAGTGATTAACTAAATTTCTCAATTAAGTCTTTAAATGTGCAGCATGTGTCCAAATAGAAATCCCTTTGATTGTCATTTCAAAATGTCATTCAGTCTTCCTTTCAACATTTTATTAAACTAATGGAATGGGATCCAGCAAAAAAGGTAGAGCTGATTTTTGTTAATTATATTTCCATTATCAAAATAGTTTTAAAAATTCAAGAACTTTAGAAAACTAGTACTGGTATCAACAAGAATAAAACTACTGAGAAACATTAATTCAAAGTTGAGATCAACATTGTAATAATTTGTGTAAGAAGTATTTCTGACGCCATAAACAAGAGTGTCAAATTGTTAAGTCAACAACAGGAGTCACTGTGTACTTACTCCTTATGTGGGATCTCTGTCCTAAATGTGTTGTCAAATGTGAATTAATGCTATAACTAGTACTGAAACAGTATTTTACACTTTATGTTCTGTGTGGGTGCAAACTGATGAAATCTTTACTTAATATATACTAAATTGATCTTCTGTATATAAAGATAATTGAAAATGAATCTTGATGTGAATGGAAGGGGAGAGGGAGCAGGAGATGCGAGGGGTGCGGGTAGGAAGGAAGTTATGGGGGGGAAAAGCCATTGTAATCCATAAACTGTACTTTGGAAATTTATATTTACTAAATAAAAGTAAAAAAAAAAGAAATATTTTTGTATGGTAAAGGTGAGGTACTTACAATGATTTTTACATACTGTATCTTCACATAATGTAGCATTCACCAAGATAGAATTTTAAATTTGATTTTTCTGTTCACTGTCAATGAATTTAATGATTGTAGCCATTCCTTTCTAATTCATTAACTTCTTCATTCCATAAGCATTTTGGAACATTCATATTATTTAAATTTTGAAATAATATATAAAACAATTTATGAATAAATATGATATGTAATTACATAATAAGAAAGGTTAGAAAATCATAAGTTTCCAATAAAAGTGACATGATATAGTGTTGAACTACAGAAAATGGAGAGAAGCTGCTTGTGGATTAAATAGGACACTGATTGATTAATCAGGAGAGCTAAATTCAGATGGTAGGCATTTTCTTCTTGCTATTATCAACTTATAATCTTCATGTTTCTTAAAGAGTATAGAATTAATTTCAACATAGCAAAAAATTAATAAGTATATCATATGCTTTTTTTTAAAAAAAGACCCATGTTATTCATTTTTATTGAACACCAGAAATTTTCCCAATCTGCATTCCTTTTACTTTTCAAACCTCGGTGGTGGTTATATTCATCGCTCTTACCATTGTTGTTGAAATTGTACTGAAGATAGTGTGCCCAGATTATTCTGTTCTCAAAGTTAATTAAATGTTATTTCCTAAGCTTTTATTATTAGATCTTATTTCCAAGTGTTTAATCTATGAAATCTTAGTTACCAAAATCTCTGTCTTTAAACTTTCAAATATCTAACTACAATCAGTTGTTTAATTCTCATCTCCAGTAGAAAATATATCACAAGGATTGTATTTCACCTGTATAAATTTTCATAGAAAGGTCATCTAATGAACTGCAGCTTGTTTTGACACATGTTCATTTTTAGATCATAAAGACCTCTTTTATTTCATGATACTTTATCATATTTCTCATTATTTCAGTGAAAACAGGTGAACAAGAAGCATAGTGCATGTTGCTTTACTATCATCAGATATTATTTTCATCTTTTTTTCTGTACCTCATCCATAATTAAGGTTTTCTCTCTAAATTAAAACATTTTAAATATGTCAAACTCTGTTTAAAAATTATGACAAAACATGATTTATATTTTGCAAATCTAATATATTAGAGCATGTAAAATATTCACCTGCAATTTTATGGCAGTCGATTAAAAATTAAAATCTAATAAAGCTTTTAATAAGTACTTGTTAGCTTTTGTAATCAAACAATTAAAAAACAATAAGATGCATTTACCTTAAAATTGCATCCGTATTATTATCGATTCGTTAGTTAAAATATTCCTTTACTTGAACTATGATTCACTTCCAAAATCACTGAAATATGATTGCTTGCTACCAAAAATAAACCCTCTACATGTTTCTTAAGGAAGATTCCGTTGACGTACCTGAATGATAGACTCCGCAAGGAAATGTTCGGCAAATTCTGCATATTCTTTAGCTCCCTCTAGGAGATCTGTAATTTGAATAGCAAAAGTTCCAAGAAATTGTGGACTGAAGAAACTTGTTTGGCTTTCTTTCACACACCAATCTCAAATTACTTTGAAGGTAGAATACTGTTTTCATTCCCTGCTGTGCCCATATGGGAAATGCTGAACTAACAGGCCACCAGACATATGAGTACACTCATTCCTTGCACGCAAGCTACATGAAGTAGAGAGAACTAATTTTCAGAGTAATTACTTTAAACAACTGATGTTTTGGTCAGAAAATATGTAACCTCAAATATTTTATGATATTATGATATAAATAGTAAATGTATTTGAATAGTAAAACATTTAATATGTTTAGAGAAATAATGTTGGAGATTTAAGATTTGGCTGGTAATCCTTTCTAGGCTGGCCAGTCTTTTGTCATTTGACCTCAAACATTATGAATAAGCCATGACACAAACATTTCTACTGGGATACTAGAAGAAGGACAACATTTTTCTAGCAGTCCTGTGTCTTGGAGTAGTCTGAAAAGAGTATTTTCCAGGGTGCATGAAATCTAAATTTTCACAAAATCCAGGAACTGCAGATCAGCTAACAACATTGTATGAAGTGCTAAACTGATAAAAATCTTATTCATAATTGGAGATAATAACAATAATTGCTACCATTTATTCCTTGTTAACCATGTGCCAGACAACATTTCAACCAGGTACCGATCAAGGGGAAAATTAGAAACTTTTACCTGAGCTGATATTGATAAAGTGCCATACTGCGTCTGCTTCATGCAGTCAAAACCATGGTCCTTATTTGTAACTAGTGCTCCAAAATGATAATCTTACCATAGAGAAAATTATAACTATTAAGAATCTCAGCACCTGGTATACATGAAGATACAATGGATTGGAATGGAGGAAAGAAATGATAACAATTTTTATACAGTTTTTTTTTTCCTACCTTAAAACACATACTATGTAGCTTTGATAGACTGCATTTTGTTATAATAGAGAAATAGTACCAAGTGTCACAATAGCATCATGGGAATTATAGAGGATTTATCTCCTTTACTCCCTGCCAAAAACCCAATTTGAAGTCTTTCTCTTTCTTGAACTAATAGGTAAAGGAAACTTCCTCTGGGGTATCTTATTATATCCTCCATCTACTCCCATTTGGATCTCTAACCATTTGTTATATTTGCCCATTGCTAATGGGATTTCTTTCAGAAAATTTCCTGAAATAGAGTTGGTTCAGAAATGCTACAATTTCATTGCTATCAAAGTTATTTTAAAGTTTCTTTTTTAACCTTTACCATATCAGTTATGAAAGACCAAAGTCTTGCTTTATGAAAAAGCACTATCTATGTGAGATCCCAGTATCAGGAAAAAAACAATTATACATTTAATATTTTAATATAATTTTCCAAATATCATTTAACTTATGTTGGATTCTTTCTTAATGTCATTTGGAGAGTAACACATAGGCTTCCTTGAGATTAAGTTTTAAACTTGAATTTTTAAATATATTAACTATTAGCTCGTTTAATAAGAGATAAACACTAACTAATTACGAGGTCTATGGTCTAGTTTTATGGCCTGAACAAATCTCGATTTTAAGCTCACCACTTTTTAATAGGGTAGACAAAGATAACCCATTTATGCTCTCTAAGTTTCAGTTCTCTCATTTGTAAAATTAAGGTATTACTTATCATGCATATCTGAGAGTTGAGAGTTGATGTGAAGATTGATTTGATAGGGCTTGGTGAATTATCAGTACTTTCTTTGTAAACTCAAAAGAGCTCTATGCAAAGATGCTGGTTAAAATTCATGGTTGTGTTTCTCCCTGTAATGAATTTTAAGGATAATAACAGTAGGAAGAGGGAAAGGATTTTTAAAAAAATATGTTTGAGTCTCAGGAATGACAATAGAAAGTTCACATGTTTTATATGATGTATTTAAAAGAAAAGCAGTCCTAGATTTTTTTGAAATACCCAAAAGCAATAAGGGTTTGAGAATTAATTTAATAATTGACATTTATGCTTTGATGGTATGTGTCTTTTTAAAGATTTAAATGCAAAATTTAAATATCCCGATATGAATAGATGAGAAAGGAATGTGCAAAGCTATTTTTGTCTGAAGTCTTTTTTTAGTAAAACAAATCTAGTGCTCCAGAACTCTTGTTTTCTTTATTTATCATTTATTCATTTGAAAAGGCAGAGTGACAGAGGGGGGAAAAACAGTGAGAATCTGCCATTTGCTCTTTCAATCCCCAAGTGCCAACTATAGCTAGAATTGGGAAGTCCATCAGAGTCTCTCACACAGATAGCATGGATCTAAATCTGTATCCTTGGGCCATTTTCCTTTGGCTCTCAGGGTGTGCACTGGGAGAAACATGGATTGGAAGTGGTAGTGGAACTCCATCCCAAGCATTTGATATGAAATGCAGGCATCCCAATCATTGCCTTACGTTACTGCACCACAGCACCCACACCAATCTCTGGAGCATAAGGACACTAATTCTATCAGAGCAGGACTCCACTTTTATGACCTGACACCCTTAGTTACATCCATAGTGGTTTTATCTCTAAATAGGGCTTTCAAATGTGAATTGGAAGAAATGCATTCAATTCCTAATGGATGGAAATTCAAAACCAACTCTTCTTTTTCCTTTACATGTATTCATTTGTTCTTGTATACATACAGGTGGTCAATCAAAACTCACTATTTTCTATCAGCTTTGCTAGATTCTAGGGACAAAACAAGAGAGCAAGTCATGGATCCTCAAGGAATCCATCTTCAGGGATTATGATTTATACATAAAAAGGTGGAAGCTATGAAAATTGTCACCTTTGTGAAAGCACAATACAGCTCATAGATGCCTTCTATCATGAGAGAGAATTCAATCTGTCACAGAAGGACTTGCAAAATTAATGCAGTCTTTTACATCTAGGCAATATAATGTACTACAGACTCTCCTGTCTGAAAAATAAAATAAAATCAGGAAAAATATTAAAAATATGTGACTTGATAGCCACGCAAGACCATGATTCCAGAGCAATGGGAACAAGTCAGTTGAGCCTCAACACAAGGGTGCTGAGGCCATGGCATAGAGGGGAAACTGATGCAGAGCTGGGAAGGTTTCTGGGTTATACAACTGGTGCTAAAGTCTTTATTTATTTATTTATTTATTTTTTTAACAGGCAGAGTGGACAGTGAGAGAGAGAGACAGAGAGAAAGGTCTTCCTTTTGCCGTTGGTTCACCCTCCAATGGCCGCCGTGGCCGGCGCGCTGCGGCCGGCGCACCGCGCTGATCCGATGGCAGGAGCCAGGAGCCAGGTGCTTTTCCTGGTCTCCCATGGGGTGCAGGGCCCAAGCACTTGGGCCATCCTCCACTGCACTCCCGGGCCACAGCAGAGAGCTGGCCTGGAAGAGGGGCAACCGGGACAGAATCCAGCGCCCCGACCGGGACTAGAACCCGGTGTGCCGGCGCCGCTAGGCGGAGGATTAGCCTAGTGAGCCGCGGCGCCGGCAGGTGCTAAAGTCTTAACAATGGAGCTGGAGATGACCAGACTGAAGGTCATCTTTTCACTGAAGGTGAAAGAATTTCACAAGGACCATTGCCAGAGAAGTGCAGGATGCCTACCTTGTGTATCCAGCAGAGTGCAACTTGACTCATGTGTGTGAAGGAGTGATCCAGGATTGAAGGAAAGCACCCCAAAAGGATAAAATGGAACACATCCAGTGCCCCAACAGGGCACTGGGAAGAAAACCTGCATCCACCAGGGAATCAGGAAAGCCTCACAGTGCACCAAGAATTATGGAGAAGACTCAGCAGCAGGCACATTTAATGCACAGCAGTGGATGCAATTTGTTCCAGGAGATGGGTCAAACCTAACCCATCATAAAAGCACTTAAATTAAAATTCAAGATGGTTTTAGGATGCAAAAATATCCAGTAGCCAAAAAAGTGCAATTCATTATAACTATGATACAAGGAAACATTACCAAACATGCAAAACAGGAAAATATGATACTTCTTTAATGAGGAAAAAATCAATCAACCAAACCTGATCCGAAAGAAACACAGTTATTAGAATTAGTAGACCAGGGAATCAAGATAGTTATTTTTTTGCATTCTATATGTTAAAAAATTTAAGTGGAGAATGGAAAATATTTCAAACGATTTAACTAAAACTTAAACAAATAAAATTAAAATGTCTGAAATGAAACTTTAAGAGATTAATGATAAATTAAACCTTTATACAAAAAGAGTACTTAAATTGAACATGTAACAAATAAAAGTTATCCAGATATAATCCACAGAGAAATAAAATAATGTTAAATATTAAAAGAAGATCAGTGAGCTGTGACAGTTTCTGAAAATTATGTGTGATTGGAACTCTCAAAGAAAGATGAAGCAGTGATGTTCAAAATATTTTAAATTTGATTTAAAAAATTAAAAACCATTACATCTAAGGAACCAAATGAACATCAAGCATATGTATCTGTGTGCACGCACACACACACATACACATACATACCCATGAAGAACACTACAGCATGGTAGATTATTATCTGATTGGTCAAAAAGTGATAAACAAAATATTAAAAGCAAGAGAGGTTAAGAGATATATTATTCATATAGGAGAAAAGTAATAAACAATATTTCTTTTCTTGTTGAAATAATGCAACTGAGAACACAATAGAGAAATGGTTTTTAAATCTGAAAACAAAGTTAACATAAATTTTAATACAAAGTAAAATATTTTTATATATTAAGGCAAAACGAAGACTTTTTAATGTGAATAAGTTAAAAGAATTCATCACTAGAAGCTTACCATTTATGAGCAAATTGAAATAAAATCTTTCAGGGTAAAAAAAAAGAACTACAAAATAGGAAGTGTATTTATATATATGAAGTAAACCATATATCAAATTTCTTGAAATGAGTGAAAATGGAAGCAGTATACCACAATCTATGGGATATAGTACAGCAGTAATAAAAAAGATAATTATAGGCTGGTGCCATGGCTCACTTGGCTAATCCTCCGCCTGTGGCGCCAGCACCCCGGATTCTAGTCCTGGTCGGGGCGCCAGATTCTGTCCCGGTTGCCCCTCTTCCAGTCCAGCTCTCTGCTGTGGCCTGGAAAG